AATGTGAGGTAAAATTATTAATTTTTTTAAATAATCACTGTTAAATAGTTTACTTTTGTTGAGTTTGTAAATATTTGAAATGAGATTATAAATAAATCTGTTGAAGAGTTTTTGGTTTTATTTGTTTACTGTAACCATTTAAATTTTTGTCTATTTTCCTATGAGGTGTATGAATTTCACTGTGAGGCACTGTATATAACCTCCTATTTGAACCTGACATTGTAAAGCATTTAAAATTGAGAAGATTGAGGTGGGCTATGCAGTTCAAATATCAGAGTATGAGCTCCCCAGAAAAGTAATGACTGAGACAATTCATAGCACCAGACGTAGGAGAAGATCTCATCTTAGATGGTTGGAGAGTTGTTTTTCAGCAGCGTGCAGACTGGCAGAAGTTATTATAAGAGACCAGGGACCAGTAATGTTCTTTTGAGCCAATGGAAGAATATTAATTATAATTAGATGAACACAAATAGAAGTATTTAAAGTTTTGTAAAATGTTTATAGATTAGGATATTGTTTTTTCTTTGTGCCATCTATATTTTGTGTTAACTTTTGATATATAGTACTATTATAATATTAAATGTAAAAAATTATGATTATTAACCTAAATTGAATGTTACAAACAATCATTTTTAATAAACACCAGTAAAATCACTACAATGTGTGTGTATCAGAGGTGGGCATATTTATATTAAAAAATATAAATACGAATACCATTTATATTTATGGCATTTTTGAATATAAATATGAATATATTTATATTCATAAAAAGAAATATGAATACAGATGATGCGTATTCACAGGTGTAAATATAAATACAGCCGTATTCACCACTTTAAAAGTGAATACGGCTGTATTTACAGTTGCACTAGTGAATACAGCTGTATTCACATTTATTAAAATGAATACGCTTAAATTTACTGAAGTGAATAGAAATATTTTCACACAACCTTATGAATGAATACTCTTATTTATTAAATAAATATTAATTTTACTTTAGGTATTTTCCAAAATTAAACAAAAAAAAATGCAATAATCAAAATAAAGTTCTGGACACTATGGAGTTAATTAAATAAACCTCTTAAATTTTTTTGGAATAATGTTAAAGTTGGTATTTACTAACACAAAATGATGTATACACAAACTTTTAATTTTATCAAACATAAAATTATAATTCTGTATATGTTAACATCTTAGGAGGGTCCTAATTATGTAAACTAAAGTCAATTAAGGAGATTGGAAAATTCGACTAGATGACTAAGCTAATGCCTAGATATACATATGTATTTTACCACGCTGTATGTTCCTATTATAGAAATTTTAGTTAATATTCAAAGATAATTATATGTAGCAACATGTTCTAAGATTTTATGATTAATTCATTTTTTTAATTTTTACCTGAAAATTTTATTACAGTTTCGGTAGTAAATATGGAGTGATGAGATTATTTCACTGACTCAAACCTTTAAATACAAATAAAACTACGAATTCAGTTGGTTTGTTAAAATATTTTCAAATACATCATACACACACACAAAAAAAAAGATATTTACCATATATATCATTTTATTTTTATATATAGTATTATATTCTTCATTTTACTATATGTTATTTCAATTATGTTACAATGTATTATGTTATGTTAATTGTTATACGTAATATCAATTCCCGAAATCTTTTTTTGGGGGTATCCATTGCCTCTCCCTCCCCCCTAATAGAATGGAAAATCTGCGTCTTTGGCCTTTTCAGTGCACTGTTTACTTATAGGTTGCTGATGGCAAAAAAGATAACTTTAATGGAACGTCAGTGTAGGCATAACTGTGAGAACGATACCCTGGAAATACCAGGGGGGAATACGGGTGCACGGCAGCCTTTGGATAAAGCTAGGAAAGAGGCAAGGGCAGCCAAATTTGGATAGTGACATTTCGGGACCTGCCATTCGGTAAAGTAATAAAGTAAAAGTGAGGATGTTACTGTATGTGTTAATGTGCTTAATGTGTTAAGTTTTGCATTTAGATCAATGTATGAAATTGATAGTGAAACTGAGTCTGTTTCTTTAGCAGGCTCTAGTATTCTGGATCAGGATTTCGATTTAAGTAAGTGTTTTCAAGATAGTACCAGCTCTTTAAGAAAATTAAGGTTCTCTATACAAGTCGCATTGAATGGGACTTTCTTTAAACCATTAAGTAATGATATAAAAGTGATTTCACAAGAAATACATAAATTTAATTCGGTTTGCGTTTTATGTTTAAAATGTCCTCCCAATGTTTAAAGCAAACAAAAAATAATAAAAGCTAATATTTTAAATAATTCAAACCTAATAACACATTTAAAGCGGCATCATACTTCAAAAATGGCTGGTGATTTCAAAACTTTTCTAGCCTTGAAACGAGATCAGTACGCAATTTCTAACCCAAGTCAGGTCAGTCAAATACATTCATGAAAAGCCGCCTCATCATTAAGCATTCAATCCCAATTAGACAAATTGGTTTTAAACTTTATTATAAATGTTATGGTTCCCTTAAAAGTGGTTGAAGATCCCAGTTTCCGAAAACTTTTGACATTTTTGCATACTAAACAACTGATTTGAAAACGATTAGTCGGCGATCTCTTGCTAGGAAACAGCAGATATTTGGTCTGGAGGGAAACAAAGTTTTATTGGCGTCACCGCTCATTGGATTGATGTTAAAGGCAGAAGAAAATCTGTAACATTGGTACTTAAACGATTCTCGGGCTGCCATACACATGATAAAATAGCTACTATATTATATGAAATTCATAGTAGTTTTGAATTGTCCACAGACAAAATTGTTGCAGCCGTCACAGATAATGGCAGCAATTTTGTCAAATCTTTTGAGGTATTCGGGATGAAACGTGAAAATATTAGTTTAGGAGAAGAGGAAGAAGAAGAACAAAATGACATATATGTGGATAATGACGACGATAAAGAACCCGAGTCATGGGTGGTAGTTGATGAAATTGTCACAGAAAAATTACCCTTGCATTTGAGGTGTGCCGTCCATACTCTCTCACTTTGTGCCAGCTCTGACATACCAAGAATTATAAAAAACCATCCCGAGCTCAATCAATTACATGATACAACTTTGAATAAGTGCAATGCTGTTTGGCAACTGTTAAAAAGACCTAAAACTGCTGAAATAATTGAAAAAATGTTAGGAAAAACACTAGCCAGAGCCACTGAAACCTGTTGGAACAGTCTCTATGACTCATTAAAAGATATTTTTGGAATTCAAAAATACATAAGCGAGTTGCCAAAACAATTGAGTTTAAAAGACTGCCTAGGTGCAGAAGAATTTTTAACTTGTGTCTTATGAATGAATGAATGTCTACACTGTAATATAGCATTAGCTGAAACAATAGATATATTACAGTGTGAAATCAATGCGTATTATGGTTTATTTTTGCCTACTCTTAAGAAAAAAATTAATTAACTTGACCCGGTTACATTTACAATTTTGTAAACCTATCGCAGAAGGCGTCTTAGATAGTTTCAAGCGACATTTACCAAAATTTTAGATTTATGCACTACTGAAGGGGAAAATGCAACAATCGCAGCCCTTTTTTATCCTAAATTTAAAAGGAAATGGTTTCCATGCATTGATAATTGGGCCCAAGATAGACTAACGATTCGCTTTAAGGAAATCATACATAAAAATTTGTTTGACAAGAATGAGCTTGACAAAAATCAAATGGAAACGGGCAATGCTAGTGATGACTTTTTTGACTTCGGAGAGAACTCTTGACAATTTTTCTGATTCGTCAGTCAAATTCAAAACCCAAGCAGAAACCATTATGATGCAATATTTTAATGACCCCCAACGAGATTTTGCAATGCTGAGAAGTTATCTAACGGTTGAGCAAATATTTAAAATATATAATACACCACTGCCATCAAGTGCTCAGGTGGAAAGGCTAACATGCCAAAATCAAATCGTCTTAACGATCATCAATTTGAGGAACGAGTGATTCTTCGAGCAAATTTATTATTCAACTCCAAAGTGTAATTGATAAGTGACTTAAGCACCAAGTGATAAATTATTTTTACAAGAAGACATTTCTTTTTAGTTTAAGCATTTAAAAATGTAACATTTACCATAGTAAGTTCCAAATATATTGATTAATGCAATAAAATGTATTAAATGTTTATTTTTTAATAACAAAATTTGTAACAAATGATTAAAATACAATTTATGATACTTTTATTTTGTTTTAAAAATACCTAATATTTTATTAGCATATTATTTTATTATATTATTTATTTTAACATTTGCGAGTTTTATATATATATATATATATATATATATATATATATATATATATATATATATATATACACACACACACACACACACACATATACATATATGTTCAAAGCTGTTCGGATTAGATCAATTCAAATAATGTTAACATATTCATAATTATAATTTTATGTTTAATAAAATTAAACGTTTTACCTATACATCATTTCGATTTAGCAAATACCAATTTTTTAACATTATTCTAAAATTTTTCAAGAGATTATTTATTAAACCCCTTACCGTCCAGAACTTTATTTTAACTTTTTTTGTTTTATTTTGGAAAATACCTAAAGTAACAAATAAATTAATATTTATTTAATAGATTCATTTATAAGGTTGTGTGAAAATATTTCCATTCACTTCTGTAAATTTAAGTGTATTCATTTTAATAAATATGAGTATGGCCGCATTCACTATTGCAACTGTAAATACAGCCGTATTTACTTTTAAAATGGGGAATACGGCCGTATTTATATTTACACCTGTGAATACGCATCATCTGCATTCATGTTTCTTTTTGTGAACATAAATATATTCATATTTATATTCAAAAATGCCATAAATATAAATGGAATCCATATTCATATTTTTAAATATAAATATGCCCATCTCTGGTGTGTATTAACTTGATTAAAATAATTATGTCTGTTTTATGCCTAATAAATAAAACACTATATTTACCTCACTCCCATTACAGCAGGTACAGCTAATAGTGAATATAGAGTTGCACTTCTAGACATAAAATTATTTAATCCAGTATAAGTAAAAGAACCAAAAAATCCTGCTCCTCCAGTTCCGGAAGACCAAGCAGAAATTACATTCCTGAAACATTACATTGTGTTTGCATTAACTACATTCTTCAACTGATGAAGATTACTTTTGATGTTCTTCATTAAGACATGTATCCACACAATATAGAAAGAAGGACATCAGAATAGATTCCAAGGGGAATTCTTGATAAAAGGGTTTATAGTATGAGAAGAGTGGAAGATCTCGGCTCTGAGAATATAAGTGAGAAAATAGTGTCAGGTAGTTGTGTATTTCTGTCAGTGCACTTCAGTTTTATTTTAGTGAAAAGTATAAACTTATTTTGTGAATTTATTTATCTCCCATAGTATTTGAAATGTTTGACCTTTATATTTTCACTTCACAGTTTATGCCTCTCAGGTCAGAATAATAAAAATCTAAAATTACTTCTGATTATTATTTATTCCTCGAAATGTACAAATAAATAATAATCAGAAGTAACTTTTTATTTTTATTATTCTGACCTTGGAGGCATAAACTGTGAAGTGAAAATAGACAATTTATTTACGCTTTAAAAACAAACCTAAAACCTTTCTGAAGTAAATAAAAACTATGAGGATGATAAGTAGTCATGATTTGCAGTCTAGATATGTTTTATTAGGCTTGCCAATGTTTTGACCCTAACATATGGGACATCATCAGGGCTAAAACTACATTAGAAATATAAGATGGAAAGTAAACATAATATAATATTAATATAAACATAATAGCATGTCAAGAAAAGAAAAGTTAAAAAATAAATATACTTATATTATGAGACAAAAATTATATTTAATTTTAATTTGCTAAATAGACTAGTATGTGCAGGATATCTAGTTAAGTATTGACAAGCTTGGTTAGTACTACAGCACTCAAGATATTGAGACAATATCCACTTCTCCTGATAAGTCAGCTAGTAAGCTTCATTCAACTCACGACTATGGGTTATAGAAGTATATTCATGTGACTTAATAAGGAATTGTGATTTGATCTTTCACACTTGTCAAGGTTTTCTGCCCATGGACAGCTTATTTTGAGATGAAATAGTAAGGTCCTACATAGACAATTGTACACTGCTTTTGAATTTGAGTATTTAAAAGTTTCTCTGAGGAAAAGACAGTTACAAATGAGTCCTGGAGAGGTTGATTATTAAGTTTTTTATAGCTTATTAATTTACCATTCAAACCATGGTTCACGACAACTCAGTTTGGGTAACTGTACTCCCATAAGTTATAGATGTTTGTAAAAATAATACATTTAGAGAATTTTCATGGTCTATACAACCAACCCCAATAGAGTTTTTTAACCATTCAATCACTACAGAGTTGCATAAATAATTTAGAATTGAATTCATTATAAAATTTATATTGAAAGTATTCACTGTTCAACATTATTATTTGAATAATGTTAATCAAAAGTATTTAACTTGCAATTAAACTATCTTGTTTTGTATAGTATAAAAAAAAAATTACTTATTTTTATAGAATGCAATATAAGATAAGAGAGTAACTTCTCCAAGTCCTGATGCAAGTGCTGTGCATACAACACCAGCTATAGCAATCCATTCATTAGTTGCTTCTGCAACCAAAATAAAGCCAGCCGAAGACAACAATAAAACCATAATCATTCTGAAACTGAAAAAAAAAAAATATACTTCTATGAATATAGGTGTAAAATAAATAGATTATTCATGAAAAAAAAAAAAAAAATCATTACAGTTACATTATTGTATTACAGAAAATTGAATTATTTATCAAAGTAACATAAAAATATTTTGATATTCATGAAATTCGTATTGTACTACTAAAACACAAATCTGTTGGGGGTGCGCACAACACTCAACTTTCACTTACTACTCTGCTTTAAGTAGAAATAGACATTTTGATGTATAGGACAGTTAAAGTAAAATTTTTTGATGGTAGACCATACTTATTTAAACAATTAATTATAATATTTTTTTCATAATTATAGAGATATACAATATAATTTGATGATAGGCAGGAATAACTCGCATAGATCATCAAGATCTCTGGATACCGCAAAGGTTACCAGTCGAGCTCTATTCATCGCTTCATGAAGACTATGCTTTCCAACAGTTGGGGTGTAGATATGTTCTCTCCCGACCTTCAAGTTGAAATCTCCTGCAACTATCTTCATAACATTTCCAGGATCCTTTCAAGAAGATAATAAAACTGGTCCTTCTCATCTTCGCAAGCTACTTCTGTGGGAGCATGGTCACTAGGAATGTTATAGTTAGAAAATTTTCCATAGATAAGGATGAGAAATATTCGCTGACTAATGGCTTTAAATCCAATCACACGTTGCCTAGATGCGTCTCTCACCACAAACCAAGTACCAAACTCATGAAGCCTATCATTATAGCTATAATATATGGAATGCTTTTTCTTTTATAAAATTCCATTTCCTGTCCAATGCACTTCCTGGATGGCAACAAGGTCAAGTTTATATTTGTCTATCTGGTCTAGGAACAGCTTAAATGCTCCAGGTCTATATAATGAACGTAGGTTCCAATATAAGAAAATGAAAATCCTTTTAGGAATGCCCGGTCTATTACCTTTTAATCTGTTTATATCCGAGCCTTTCGTGTAGGGTTTCGAGATGCTTCAGTTTCGGGTTGCGGGGCTATTGATCCTCACTGCGTACCCTAGGCTGCTGGTGAGGCTGCCACCTCTGTGCCTGCAAACCTACACCACCATCTGGGGCGGGTTCCTAGGGGAAGTGATCCTATGATGTGTACTGTTAATGACCTTTGTCTGTAGAGATTAGGGACCAGTGTGGTGTGCTGTTTTAGTATTCTGTGGGTATGTGAGTGTACTGTCCCCCAAACTTGGAGGGTCACTGGCTGGTTGCGGCGCTAGGGCCACCACCTCCTTACGCCTAATATATAATCATATAAAATTATGACTATCCTTAGTCCTACCTTTATATTATCCCTACTAAACTCTAACCAGCCAATCATAATCGAATAAAGTTCTAAAAATCACCTAACGCTTGCAATACAAATGAAAAATGAATTTGAATTTAAGTAAACTCAAATACTACCTGAAAGTACGTAGACAAGAACCAGGGAGCCCCAGGGATACATTTTGCGGACCCTCGTCAAATATAAAATTTATCACTGGACCTTACCTCTTCATTAATAATGAATGTAACAAAAATATTGTTTAAAGATATTATATAACCATTATATAATATAATATAAATTAAAGTTTAATAAGTAATCTCTGATTTCAAAGTGACGCTGTCGCTCTGGAGTTGTTGTATACCTATTACCGCCACCAGCTCCTAGCACCGAGAGTAAAAAAATCTTAGTTGCGACGAATAATTGACAGGTCATTGATTTTCAGTGATGATCCACAGTGATTTTCCCGGAGCTGTGACGGAAAATCTTTGTTGCGCCAAATCACTATCACTAGTAATAAACCAACGAAAGACTCGTGTGTCTTCTTCGGGACCAGTCGGGAGAACTCCGCCCACGCTCATTGCCTTGGTTAGTCTAAGATAAGAAGACTGCTTTTCATAGTTTACTTACATTTAGAGATAATTTTTTTATAAAACATGGTCATATTTAACCATTAACTTCAGTCAAAAGTCTCTTACCCACCCGACTGCGCTTTATAGGAATACCTTTTCAAAATTTGGCATTTAAGTCCAGTAAAAATAATTCAATGAGATTAATACTTAACTTGATATTAAAGACCATTTAATTTTATATCGATAAAGTGAGTTTAGTCAAAATCATTAAAAACGTTTTCGATAAAATCGTAAAAATGTGTAAAATATATAATATAAGACATCATTTTCGTTTATAGATTTTGACGACAAAGTTACTGTACCTTAAATACGTTATTTGCGACTTTATGTTTATGAGCTGGGCTGTTCACTCAAACACACGCGCACTCACAGACCAATTTGCTAGACTTGTATGCTTGACAAAACATGTATTTCTGTTAAAAACTCGGATTTGAAATTTTTCAATATCGCTAAATTTCCCTTATGTTATATTTCATAAATAGATAAGTGAAAATATAAAAGAAAAGTAGTAAATGAGAGTTACTGAGTAAAGATAATGATAAAATAACTGGTAATATACTCTTAACAATTGTTACTTACTGAATAGCAAGAGGAAAGAAAGGAGCTATCAGCTTTATCACAAGTGAAGGTATTATATCAGCTAGAAGGATAGCACCTGTAGATAATGTATTACACTGACGTGCATTATTCTGAAAATATGGAAAGTAAAAATTGATCATTTACAGATTATTATAAACAATAAACAAAAATAAATTGAAGTCAAAGTTTTTTTTGTTATTATTAAAATTTACTTAAGTATTAAATGATAAATACAAGTAAATATGAAATAAGTAACATGACATGCACAACATGAAGAGAAACTACCCATTGGTAGCACTCCAATTATATTTCTATATTAGAAGGTCCCGAGGCCACCTTCTTTTCAGACGCCTCGGAGGGTTACAAGGAATAGAAGAGGAAGCAAGGTTGGAACGAGAGGGTTCGGATGGTTCAGAAGTTTATTATGGAAGGATAGGTATCTGGATTGAGCTAAATCGGAAACATATGGTATATTAAGGTCGTTATGGATGATTTTATTTGTGACAAAGTAGGGAGCATTGAGGATTTTACGAAGGATTTTGGATTGTGAAGTCAAAGCTTAAATTAAAAAAATAAAAGTAATTTTATTTTTGGGTCATAAACATAATTTTTATTTTGTTTTTTTTATAAGACATGGTTATATTTAAATATTAACTTCAGTTAAAAGCCTCCTCCTCCTCCCCCCCCCCCCGTAGATCGGAGTACTACCTAACTACCTCAGTTGTATTTCGTCGACCCAAAATCCGCAACCCGACCCAAAACATGGAACAATATCATGAACAAAGCTTCACACGAAAACAACTACCCTGAAGACAAAGCCGGGCGTTCGGATTCCAGGGTGTCTGGCAGTGGGAAGCAAGATGGTGAATCGGAGCACCACAAGGATCTTCGACATCAACCGACTGTAGGACAAAAATTCAGACTCAAGAAGAAGTATTATTTCGGAACTTAGAACATAAATTCATTATTACAAGTGGGAAAGCTAAGACAGCTTACATTATAACTTAAACGGTTAAACATATCGATTATGGCATTGCAAGAAACCAGATGCAAGGACACGGAAGCCGCTGATTACGAGGGATACAGGATCTTCAAAGAAAAAGTACGAAAACGCGTCATGAAGAACGTACCTCACCTGGGAACGGGTATAATGGTTAGGAAGGATCTCTTGGGATCGGTCGTCGACTTTAGCAGCAATAGTTCGAGAATTTTCGCACTCACCCTTAAAGCGAGCAACGAAAAATACGCTCTGATCAATGCGCAAGCACCGATAAGTGTAGAAAACAAGAAAAACCTGGAGAAAGTAGAGGCGTTTAGAGAAAACCTGGAAGAGATGGTAAGCAAAATACCACGAAACTATGTAAAGATTCTACTAAGAGATTTCAGCGCACAAATACGCAAAGAAAAGAAATACAGGAAAACGGTGGAGAAATATCCGGCACACAATAGGACGAACAGGAATGGCGAGAGAATAATCGGACTATGTCAAAAAGTCGATTTAAAGATCATGTCGACATATTTCAAAGCGAAAGCCAGCAAGAAAAAGACATGGGTGTCCCCGAACAACCATCTTGGGAAATTTCAGTTAGATCACGTAGCTATTTCCATTAAGTCCTATAGAGAAATTCAGAACGTTAAACTAAGAAAGTCTATGAATGTAACGTCAGATGACTACCCGTCACAAATCAAAACTAAGATGATTCCCATGAAGAAGTATAATTTCGGGAACGGTATCAGTCATCATACCAGATGATGAGGAACTGGATGAAATCATCGCATCCTTAAAGAACAACAAAGCGGCAGGAGATGACGGTGTGCTTGGCGAGATGTGGAAACTGACTGGGGATGACTTCAGAAGGATAATCATGGAGCTGATGATGGATATCTGGAGCGAGGAAAAGATTCCCCTAGAATGGAAAACAGCCTTAATACACCAACTACATAAAAAGGGAGATAAAACTGATGTGAATAACTACAGAGGAATCTCCCTACTACCGGCCAGCTACAAGATTTTAGATAGGCAAACACTACTTGAAGTAATAAAAGAATACGGAGTTGACCAAAAAACTAGAATATTGATAGGGCTAACGATGACAGGGACTGAATCTAAAGTTAAATTCCAAGGAAATATCAGTGAACCATTTCAGATCAAAACGGGACTCAGACAGGGAGACGGGTTGTACCAAATACTGTTTAACGTGGTACTCGACAAGATCATAAAGGAACTATGGAAAATTAACAATTCAGGTGCAACCCTAGGGACTAAGAACAATAACGTCAAAATTAGATGGCTCGCATACGCAGACGACGTTGCCATTTTATCAAAAACAGAAGAAGAGGCGATTGCCCAAATAAACACCCTCTCGGAAATAGCGAGGAAAATAGGCTTACAGATATCATTTGAGAAGACGGAATTGATGACCACGGACGCAAATTTTAAGAAGAAAACAATTGAAACCAAATACGGAACGATTAAACTAACTCAGAGATTTAAATACCTTGGAGAAATCATATGCAGCAATGGGCCAGAGAGAGAAGGGTTTAAGGAAAGAATCGCCAAAATAGATAAATTAGGCTTCGCCACCAGTGATCTTTATAAAAAGAAGAACTTGTCTCTAAAAGCTTATATACGACATAATAACACGGTCGTCGAACCAGTCTTATTCTACGCAACAGAAACTTCTTGCCTTCCCAGCCTATAAAGCCTTCTGAAAATAGAAAGAAGAATTCTCAGAAGAATCTACGGACCTAGGAGAACACCTGAAGGATACAGGTTGAAGTCAAATGAAGAAATATATAGGGAAACAACAGATCTAAAAACTGACGCTAGGGTGGGAAGACTGAGGTTCTATGGCCATATGATGAGGATGAATCCTGAAAGACTTAACCATAAAATTTTTCAGCGAATCCACAGTCATAAAAATTTATGCGGTTATTTCAAACTGGTTAAGGATGATATGGACCAAGTGGGGCTAAGAGACCAAGATTGATTGGACAGAGATGAGTACAGGAAGGCGCTCAAGGGAATAACGGTTCTTGTGAGTAAAAAGCGCGCCCAAAAGGGGTGCTGCGTGGTCTGAGGAGAGAAAACGTAAGCACACGGAGCTCATGAGGGGCATATGGGATAAGAGGAGGTAGACGAAGAGGAAACATTAAATTCGTGATATTCGCGTGGTCTTTAAAATCTGTTGGTGGTGAAAAAAACAAAACATAATTTTTATGATAGTTCATAAGATGATTCTTGTTCATATCGATATTCTAAATGTTAAACTAATACTAAATTAATAAATAAAACCACCAATATAACTATATATAATACAATAATAACAGGTGCCGGAACTTGGAGTTATGAGAGGGGAAACAATTTTAAATTTGCCAGTTTCTGCTACCCCCAATAAACATCAACATTTTATAGCAGTATTTTAGTTAATGTATTTCGATATAAATATCATTATCAGATAATATTAACTCATGTCATTGACTAAATTAAGGTCAAAATGACCAAAAATTAGCAAGAAATATTTCTTACTTCAGCTAAAAAGTATTTTCATGAATTTTTCAGCCTTCTACATTTTGTCACCAAGTGGTAAAAGGCAAGTGGCTCGTTTCTCCCACCTCCTAGTTATGGTTCTGATAAAACAATTACCCCGAGGACCCCTGAGCCAAACTCTTAACCCCAAGCTAAAGAAAAAACTGATGCGACCTTTTTATTCATATTTTAAAAACTATTTCAGAACCCCTACCTTTTCTAGCTCCTGGGAAGGAATCAAAAAGTGAGTTAGCGATTGAACTAGAGGATTAGGATGGTTAGGAAGACCGTGATTAGATGTAAAATAAAAATATGTCAGACTTAAGACTTATTATCACCAATGATAGCTAAAATATCATTGTTATTAAAATATGCAAAGATTAATAAACTATACATACCATAGGTTTGACATCATCACCATGACTAAGTATATCATGGGCTGCTGTTAACATCACAACATAACCATAATTATTGCACAGTCCGAGGATCCAAAATGCAAGGAAAGAACGAAATCTAATATCTTCTTTCTGAGGCTCAAGTTTTCCCTCAGAAGGATTTTTCACCATTTTCTTTGATTGTTTTACCTCTTCACAATACTTGGTTAGCCTATAAAAATGAAATTCCTGAACTGTAATAAAACAAGATTTATGAATTGATTTAAAATTAATACAAGATGACACTCATCAAACTGAAAGATTTCCGATTTCATAAGTATTAGTTTTTGTAATAGGGCCTTTTAATCAGATTAAGAAAATTAAGTATATATTTTTCCCATAATTTTTTAAGTATCAATATTATGCCAAATTATATGTGTGGATGTATTGATGAATATATTTACTGTCATTTAAATGAGTCACTAAATAATAAGTTTTAGAATACAAAAATCACACGCTTGTATAATATGTGTACATTGTAGTAAATTAAATAAGTAACACTGGAGAGATTGTGTATAAAATCTACGAAAATCATAAAAAAATCACAGAAGAAAATATTTTCAATTAATTTAAAATTAGGTTAAGAAACCTTTCATTTGCATAAGCTGCAATAAACCATGTCTAAATCACAAAATTAAGTCATTAATCAATTATTTGATGAAAAATGTGCAATACTTCAAAGATAGGATGATGTGAACGATAAACTGTATTACAAGAAAATTTCAGAAAACAAATGTTGTGCAAACTCAACATACTTTAATATATTAACAGATTAAAGGCGGGGGATGTTGACGAAAGTATCCTAGTCCAGATAAATCCTAGTACTACTACTCTCGCCTTTAATCTGTTAATATGAAACATTGAAGACTAAATTCATTTTAGATTAATAACGAATTGCATATAGTTCTTGATGAAACCATTTACCAATAGATTAAACTAATTTTTTGATTATAGTGATTTTCAATTGAGTGATTAGGTGTCAAACAATCAGTACAGTTATTAGGAATAGCACGGTGAAAATATTTTGATTTTGATAAATGGTCCTCTTGTAAAATTCTGTACTTATTAAAATTGATAAACCATTATTTTTACACTTATACATAATTATTTTCTACTTTTTCACTAACTTCAGAATAATTGACAAGAAATTTACATAACTGTTTGCAATTATTTTATATGTCTGCTATTCTTATATCAAATTATAAGCATATAATCACAGGCGGATTTACGGGAGGAGGAGGTGGAGGAGGGCTTTTGGGCTGAAGCCCCCTCTAAAATGGTAAAATATAACCAAGTATTATGAAAAAATTATTTCTAAAAGCATTATTGTTCGTGTAATTAAATTTAATAGAACTTCAAGAATATCTGAAACACCATTTCATACAGGTAGTTAGTTTCTTTATTTTTCTTCCAAAGTATATATATATATATATATATATATATATATATATATATATATATATTATATATATATATATATAATATATATATATATATATATATATATATATCTTTATCTGTTTTTAAAAAAAGAAGTAAAATCAAACTGCGACAATTATAGAGGTATATCACTGTTAAATACGTTTTACAAAGTTTTGCAGTTTTATTAAATAAAAAAGTTCAGTTGTGGTCCGAGAAGATTTTACGTAAATACGAATGTGGTTTCAGACCTGGTAAATCAACTATATACCACATTTTCTCGATAAGGCAAATGTTAGAAAAAACATGCAAGTAACAAATAGACTTATATCACATTTTTATAGATTTTAAACAAGCATATGACAGTATAGCAGTAAAGAATTACTGAAGGCAATGATAAAATTAGGGATCCCCAAAAAACTGGACACTTTGACAAGAATGAATCTAAACGGTAGCAGATAACACTAAACTGTATAAAATTAATAACATTCATTACACCTGGTTTTTGCGCCTTTTGCTGTAGAAATACGCAGAGGTGCCCATCCCCCCCCCCCCCAAACAATATTATTGCCCCCCTCATTTATATAATTAATATGTATCTATATGAGATGTAATATCAATGTTAGTTTAAAATATATAATATTGTTTTTTTTCTTGAGAATATTAAATCCACAATACATTGCAATTACAATCAACAAGTAACACCAGTAATATTTAGAGGAGGAAACTGCTCCCCCCTGCCCTCCTCTGCAAATGCCTATGCCAGGAATTCATTATTATTTTGTTTTAAAATGAGAATTTCATCTAATATAGTTGCGAGAGCGTTGTAAAAAGGGGGCACATTATTTTAAAATAGGGGGAGGGCGATAAATTTGAGGATGGAGAAATTAGTCTTTATTTCCTATTTACTTTCTTTTAGAATGTTGAAACGATCTGTCACTGATGATAATATTTCATAAGTTTTTATTTTGTTGCTACTTTATTTTATATTTTTTTCCGTGTGCTATAGTCAAAGACAAGGCATTAGTTGTATTTATTATATACACACAATGAAGGTAGCGCATACCGATATTTCAAACAAGCGGCGCCCTTTGAGTCAATGCTGAAACTGGAAATACCGAAGACAGTGCTCCGCTTGTGTTGAGTACTTAGGATAAAGTCATATCTGCCGCTCTTCCAAGTATGCGGCGCCCTAAGATACTTGTTTATATACACGCAAACCTCCACAAAAAAAAAAATTCTGATGGTGCAACTTGCGCCATACAATCTCTCTGTGGGCACCCCTGGAAATTTGTATCATTCGTGTTAGAAATAATAATAAAGTCTGTTATTATACGTATATATTTCTTTTTATTGACAACCTTTACATTTTACAATATTATAAACAGTAACCCACATGCAATTCACATTGAATAAAAACACGGTGCCTCCACCTAACACATAACATATAAATGTGCCCGCAGGTGAAAAAAGATTGGGAACCCTGCTCAAGGGCATAGAAAAAATTAATGCCAATTATGTAATAGCCTGACATTTCCTTAACATAAGTAATAACCAACATGTTTATTTGTACACGTTTGATGGTATAAAAAAATAGAGCAGAAGCTCGTTTAATAATTTACTATTATCTGCAAGTAACATCTCTGAAGAGAGTGTGGTATAGCTGTAAAGATAGTATTGTAATACAAGTAATTCATGTTTTAAATTTCTACAAGTATTTCTAGTGTTATTAAATAAAATCAAATAAAAGTAAAACATATAATGAAATGATACAAGAAATATAGGTTATATTTTCAAATAAATTTAAATATAGAGGGTGCTTCAGGGTTAAGTGGTCAAACTGAAAATATGAACTAAGGACCTCAAAACAAGAAAAAAATTTCCTCCGACCTAATGAGATAAAAGAGGAGTGTTTAATTATAAGATAATCATAAATTGTTTTGAGTTTAGCGGTTCCAAACGATAAATAAAGCCCTCTAAACAACTACTGATTTGATGGCTCATGTTTTGTTCAATTATTGTCATATCTTTCATTTGAGCTCAGTACCACTAGTTAATTTTTATTTAAAATAATAATTTTTATTTGATAGGCATAGACGCCTATTATTTATGTAAGCCATTCGTCAAATTATCGATTCATAATTTGACCAATTAACTTATTTATTTCTACATGCTCTAAAATAAAGTAATTTTATAACTTCAAAAATAATTTACTAAAATATACCCAAAAATACCCCTGTGAAATTTTTCTCAAATATTGATTAGTAGGTATATTAAAGAAAAATAAAAGAGTTGAGAAACGATTCCAGTCGGAAAACATCTCTCTTTTACAGGGTTAGGAAACTATCTTCTTCTTCTGCGTTTTTCCTTATATGACTAGGTCAGGGACTAAAATAAAGAATTCGGTAGTCCTCCTCAGGTCCTCCAGATCACCCTCTTTTGCTGGGGGTAGACCTCGCAAGTTTGTAGGATACGTTCCACATTCTGGACTAGAGCCAATTTTGGACTTACTGATTAGCTGTGCTTTGAGCCTGTTGTGTCCCGTTCGTAAGCGAAATATCAAGACCTGATCTCGCCGAGTTAGTCCGTAGATAGCATCTCTGGGGTCGTGAAGTGGATGACATCTGAGCCAATGTTAGTTAATAATCACTTTATTGATTATCTAGTCTAGGCTAATCTTATAATTAAATTGCCGACTCAAGGCCCCCTCTTTTGCCAGCTGGTCTGCCCTTTCGTTTCCTAGATGCCGCAGTGTCCAAGGATCCATTGCAGAGCAACTTTCCTGTGAAGGGACATCAAGTCTTCAAGATCTTTGGCAAGTTTTATCAAGTTTTTGCTCCACTTCGTCCTGAGTGATTGTAATACTGACGCTGCATCAGTAAGGAACACAATTTTAGAGTTTTTAGGCCTCTTTGGTATCCTTATCAGTATCGATGCCTCACAGATAGCTTCTTGCTCTGCCCGATAATTCGAAGAAGTGATGCCAGTTGGTACAGCCTTCTCAATAATATTCTCCACAGAAAATTGTAAATGGATACCGGTCCCACCGTTCGTAGTTGCATTTGTGGCCGATCCGTCCTTATATACTCGATTCCACGATTCCTTCGGGTACTTAGTATTTATATGTTGAAGTGAAAGAGATTTCAAGAGTTCCTGGGGAATATTCTGCTTGCTTTTGATACCAGGAAATGGACAGAAAAATTTGTGGTTTTGGAGATTCAAACTAGAGAGGTTCATCTTCTACTGATGTTAACCGTTATACAGACACTTGCTTTTCGTACATTTCAGAAACCAGTTTTGTATTTCTGTGAAGTATGCTTTGCCGTTTTAGCCTGTTCATATTCATTTCTTTCACCATTTTCTGAAAGGAATGATTTTGTTGATGATTGCTTTTGTAGCTAGGTGCAGGAGTTTCACAGCTCTCCTATGCTCTATTGAGGGGAGCTTCGCAATTGACTCCATTTTTTCAATAGACGTTGACTTCATTGCCCCAGTTATAATTTTTAGCCCCTGGTTTTGCACAGTTGAGATCCTCTGGAGGTTCGAGGCTGCCGCGTTCCCCCAGCTGGTAATTCAATACTAAGGAAGGCCTAACGTATCCAGTATAATGACCTTAGTGTTGTCATGTCTGCGCCTCAGTTAGAGTCGGCTATTTTCCTCATAAGGGCTGTTCTTGTCATTCCCTTACGAATAGACTGCTCGATATGGAGTTTCCACGTAAGTCTTAGGTCAAACTTAATACCAAGGTAAGTG